AAGTTTCCGAAAAGTTCTAGGCAGTGGCAAGACTCCGTTACTTTGTACTTTGTACCGTTACTGCTTAGAAATGGATTTTTCGGGGATTATGAATTTTTTAAAAGTAGCGGAGACTTGCCATTGCCTAGAACTCTACTGAAAATTAATAAATATCTTCAAAACTATACGAGAAATATTTTAGAAGAACCGGAACTATGACTTTCCGACCAGCAGAGCACACTTATCTGCTTAGAAAAGTGTTCTTCGGGGATTATGATTTATTAAAAAGTAACAGAGACTTGCCACTGCCTAAAATTCTTTGAAAAATGAATAAATGTGTTCAGAACTACACCAGAAATAGTTTAGAACTCGTAGAACTATCGAAAATCCGTCAGCGTCTTAGTGTTACGATAAATACATCTTTTTTTTCTATCGGCTGTTTTTTTTATAAAATCGCCAGAACTATTATTAAAAAGTATCAGGAACTATAGAACTCGACTGCATGCGACAAGAACTCTCTTTTATTTTTGATCTGCTGGGAAATGATATGCCAACTTCACCGGCATCGACTTTGCCACATAAAGCCATTATTAACAAGCCAAAGACACCCGAAAGAGCGAGCGTTTCAAGGGAATTTTACAGCACTAAAAAGAATGGCTTTACATTTTTCATTGAGCGATGAAAAGTATGAAAAGTTGTATAAAACCTTTGACGTGATAAGAAGCAAAGGGAGAAGGACAGCAGATTTATAGGAGCACATTTTAAACCTTGTGTTACGAAACGTACAGATAATCAATTTTTGAAAGAATACGTTTTTAAACCCTCTTAGATTTTTCGAAACATTTGTTCAACAGTTTTTAGACTCGGTCTTTATTATACGCCGTATTTACCCCGAGTTGAAATTTTAGCCCTATGTTGAACTTTTAATTCTATTATATAGTAGGACCTAAGACAGTAAAAGAGGTAGAACTGCAAGTACAAAATTTACTGCTACTTTAAAACCGATAGTGTCGAAAACTTCTACTTTTGCCAATTTAGCATTAAAGTAGGTCCTTTTAAGTAGAGCTAAAGTAAATTTTTAGAATTAAAGATTCAAGGGAGGAGTAAAAAATATAATATCACCAAAGTAGGTCATCGTTGGTCTTTGTAAGTGTGTAGATCAGCTAGGTGTAAATTGTCCTTAAAAGTGTCAAAATTTACTCCTACTTCAAAACTGATAGTGTCTATAACTTCTACTTTTGCCCATTTAGCATTAAAGTAGGTCCTTTTAAGTAGGAGCTAAAGTAAATTTTGAGAATTAAAGATTCAAGGGAGGAGTAAAAAATATAATGTCGTCAAAGTAGATCATTGTTGGTCTATGTGTGTAGATCAGCTAGGTGTAAATTATCCTTAAAAGTGTCAAAATACTACCAAAATTTCAACTCTGGTATAGTTTTAGTTTTGCATTTATATTAGCAAAACAATTCCTGCCGACGATAGCATCACATTTAATGGTCGCGATACAAGGAAGGTTTATTAACTGTACAAGCAGCCTCGCAGACAGCGGCAAAGTCTGAAACTTTTGTACGGGGGGTTGACATTCGCGCTAGAGTTACCCTGATTATTGCGGAAGTGAATGCGCACGGCTTCAGGAACCGCGAAGGAAAAGGGGGCTGTGAGTTCTCAGAGCATTATCCGCCGAGTTTATTTCAAGTAAGTGACCTAGAATAATCGCACGCGTTTTATGGGACCTGTGCGCGACGGGCGGCATGCGGTATATAACCGTGGGAGAGAAAGGTCCTAGAGAAAATAAACAATTTTACCACCACGCCATCGCGACGAGGAGGGTGGCGCGAAGAGGAATGTTCGGCCAAGTATGAAATCGTTTGGAACATTTCCGGATGGATTTCTGCAAGTCCTGCGCTCGGAAGAGATAGCTGCAAACGCCCATAAATCGCTCCTTTACGTTCTATCACTTTCCGTTTCTCTCGGCGGTAGTTAAAGCCGACGTGGACGTTTGTAAAATATCAATGCCATATAACTGCGCCAACTTTTGTTTAAACGAACCATTGTTATTATTTTGCTTCATTGCAATTGAGAATAATAACAATATTATTAATAAGTTTGATCTCAAATAAGCTCATTTTACAATGTGTAAATTATTTGTAAATGTTATATTCACGTTCTATCACAGGAAATATTGTACAATTTCGTGAGTGTAATTTATGCATGTAACGATGACGTTTGGCATATTAATTTGCAGTTTTGTAGCCATTGGTCATATTGCGCAATCAGATTCGATTATTGATGGCCGACGGTGATTCTTTGCTCTTTATCTTAACGTCGTTCTAAGTTAAACTATAAAAACTTGTCGGCGTAATAAGAATTTCTGGATAGAAATGTCCGCCTCGGCAATACAATCAGGAGTGTCGTCGTTGATGGGATTGTTGGGTTGCTGAGGCGGCGAGAAGACGACGGGAAGAATCGTACAAAATGATAATACAGCGAAAGAACGTGGAATGAGCGCGTCGTAAATGTAAAACGGGAGGTGAGAGGCTTTGTGTATTCATAGAGATTTAGACATTTCATTGGAACACGTAGAATAACGCGTAGGTATAATATACCTGTAGGTTGAATCTTACAGAAATGTAAAACACGGCGAAGTAATTAATGTGCAACGCATAAATCATTGCAGCATAGCTGTATTTAAGTAATTACTGGAGGATACTTTTTTTAGGCGTTACCTGAATAAATTATAGACTCTTTATAATTTAAGCTCTCTTCTATTTAAATTAAATATAAATCAAAGAAATATATCATGTGATATAATATTCTTCAAACCAGTAAACTGTTTGCGAATGCAACTCTATCGGGGAATTTTACTGATATTTGCAACGTAAATGAAGAAATGTGAATATTGATTTTGGCTCGCTTAGGTTGGACGTATGAATTTGAATCGACAGACGACGATTGTCAGAAAGGGATTGAGCAAAATTACAGAACTGGGTATAATAGAACACATAGAACTATATATCTCAGTGCCTCAGAGCTTAAACCATGTTAAATCATATTTTTTTCCAAAAACGAGATTTTTATATTTTTTTTAGTCAGTTTGTCAAACTGATTCAAAAAATATAAAATAAATCTTGTTTTTGAATAAAATGTGACTGAACATTGTTTACCTCTGAGGCAAATATATAAGCAAATACATTTCTGAATGCTGCATAATGTTTAAAGAATTATCAAAGAATTAAAAGTAATAAAGACAACGTAAAAATAATTGATATTCGGTCTGTATTTTGTATATCGGTATCTTTTCTAAATATTTGTACTACATTCCTACTTTTATTTGGCCTCAAAATATAAGTGTGTTTTCAGAAATAAAAAGAGTAGAGGGAAAGCACAAGAGGTAGTGGAATTTTATCCTATATAGAAAAATTCCATCAGCTTTACTTAAATTTACCGCAATTTAATTAATTCTCTGCTTCTTTCTAAAAATCTCTCATAGGGATATGATATAGATAGGGGGGCACAGTTTAATTAATTTGTGATTTTGTATGTTTTCAAAAAGTAGGCGATAAACGATATTACGAGCCAGCGTAAATAGAAAGGTGAATTTCTTCGTAAACCTGATTTCGAAATAAAGATTCACTAGAAACGCCGGTAAATACTTCTGGATGTATATTTGAGAAAATAAGAAAAAATTATCTGACATCCGACAAGCATTTAGTCCTTCCGTATATTTTTCTTCCTCGCTGTGAGAAAACGAATCGGAATTTTTCGAATTCCGTAACGGGAAGCTACAACAAAAGAGAAATAAAAGCAGTTGAAACGGGAAGATATCGGCTTTGCCGAGTTAAAAATCACAAAGGTGTCCATTCGAAGTGAGCTTTTCGTTTTTCGCTTTCGCGTGGAAACAGGCGCGAGTTAACGTGCCGGCATTTCCACGTTCCCGATGCGTTTTCATATTTTCAATATGCCGATTCGATATGCACCGATACGCAAATTAAATACGGAGATTCGAAATATTTGTGCGATAACCGTATCTCGATTTAAAGCAAAATTGTTTTATTTAACTTGATTTTATTTAAACGGATTTTCTACCTGAAATGTATGGAAAAAAAGTTTGGGGAACATTTTGAAACGTTTCATAAACTGGTATTTAGAAAAAAATAGAGAATGTATTATAAGCCTTAAAAATTAGCGTGATATCGAGAGAATTTTTTAAATAATTTCTATTCTACGATTCAGTTATTTTGGTGGATATGAAACTCGGAACACACACGAGGCGCACTGTACAAATAAATAAGTTGTAAAATCTTTGACCCGAAGTAAAATTGCTATCGTGACGTTAGTCACTTTAACCGTATTCCCTTTAGTTATAATTTCGTATTTCTATCGATAATTTTGTCATGCAGATAGTCCCATCCTGTTACGTCCCAGATGTGAAATACGATCTGCGCCATATTTTACTTATTCGTAATCAATATATAGATTTTCTCAAAATACATTGCTCCCCCGAACGACCGTATACTGCCGATTTAAACGTTACGCGACTCGGACAGTATCTAAGCAAAATATAAAATTAAACATGCTTAATTTTATCACATTTAAGCTTCGAGAACGCGATGTTCGAAATTAAGCCGCGCGCGAGTCATTTTAATTTTTAATAATTATATATTGTTAATTCATGTGTGTGCATTGAATTTGTTTCAGAGGAATGACGACATCAATCGAATCCAAAAGGTGATGGACGATATACTGGAGTCGGAATCCAAGCGTTGCGATCTCGGAAATGTATTGGAACCAGGTAAGCAGGGTGGGATAATATTTCGGAAAAATGAAACACCATCGCGAGAAATATTGCCGCGTGTCGAATACCATTGATATTTCGAGCGAGGGAACGATTGTGTCATGCGGCTGGCATGATTTCCGATCGCGTCTAGTAGTAAGGCGTACCATATGCTCGAACGATCTTGAATCCGACGCCTGCTGCGAATCTCGCCGGCTGCTTCGTATCATTCATCTTTCATAATCTTTCATAATCTCTCTATTCGCGCGCCTTATCTATTCGTGTCCGCCTCTGTATTAGGTGAAAATTACGATTGATCGTTAGACGCCGGCACGTTTTAATTGATATCGCTGTATTAGTTGGCTAAATATAGTAGACGAACTGCGGGCCATTTAATTAGATCGGCAGCGCGGGGAGAAAGGTGACGCGGTCGATCACAAATAATTATCATTCGTAATAGAATCGGAAATAATTGCATTAATTCCTCCAGTGTATGCCAGCGGTACATATTGGTAATTTTTTTTTACGGCACTCGCGTTTATTTAAATATTAATAACGTGCTCACATTATGTCGACGTCGTTTCAACATTTGCGTATGTAATAAAAAATTTGCAAATCTTTCATTTCACCATTTTTATTGCATCGTAGTGAGAGAGAATTTAGGTCGCGAGATTAATTCGGCTTCTTTGTGCTCCTGCACCTGTTCGCGGAAAACAAAATAATTTACGGTGCTTTTCGGAGGTAATTCGCGCGATTCCGATAATCAGGATTGGCGACAGTAAACAATGGAAAATCAACAGGTTATAAACTTGCATAATGCGTCCCGGAAAGATCGGAAGATGATCCGCGCGACACACGCGACGCACGGACTAATGTTAACCGCGCGCTCCCGCACGTGTCGCAGCACACGCTTCGCGTTTTCGCGCGTGTACACACGCGCGTGAGTAAACAGCATCCGCAGAATGTCTCCGGAGCAATTAACGTTGCAATTAATCCCGCATCGCGATGCTGGCCCGTTCGAGCAGCTCGACGAAATCAAACGCGAAGCTACCGTGCCGTCATTAATTACACGAGCGTCATTGTGAATTCAGGCGTGAGTTCCGCGAGTTTCGCTTATTGTGTCGTCTTACAAAAGGAAGTCGGACGGGCGTGTTACTCAACACGCTAAAATCGCGTCAGTTATTTTATTAACTCGAATCCCAATTACCACACGTAAATCCTTTGAGTTACATTAAGGCGGAATGATTGAACACATTCAGAGATCTTTCAGAAGCATTTGTCACATTTCGCAGTTCGGTCTATTCAAAGGGGAAGAACGTTTTAACTCGAGATTAATTGACGTTAAAATCGAGATAATCGCAAAAAGGCCCCGGTAAAATTATTTCACCCTTTACTACCGTTGAGAAACGAAAAATTTCAAGGCAGCTTGAAAGAACAAAGACTCGATGAATAGTGCTGCTATGTAGATTATAGTTCATACAGTTATACGAAGTTAAAAGTACTTTTTTATAACTCTACCGCTTTACATAATTCAGTTTTATTATTGCGCATAATTTATGAAGTGCCCGATGAACCTATCAACTTTTTTATTGGTCTTAAATACATTGTACATGCAAGGGGGTAACCACTTGATGCAATTATGGGACAATGTCTCCGAAATCATTGTGAAATCCTTACGAAATCCACATGTAATCGTTTTGTCTTCATTTCAAAGTTTCTTTACTCGTTAGACAATAACATTAGATTTGAACATTTTCGCAACTTGTTTTCATTTTTCGATAACATTTTCTTCTTTCAGTGCATATCCAAATATATATCATAGTTCCTGCCTATAAGCGCGTATTAGTCTTCGTTAAAACGTCGATACACCTTTGCGCGCAAATTTGGAACAATAAACAGTAGATACAAATACAAAATTACTTCTCGTTAAGACCACGAATAGACTAGTAGGAAAAGCAAATACTTGTTGCTAAAATAAAAAAAATATAATGTTTTGAGGAAATCTAACTGTTCTTTGAGATTTAACAACGTCACATATTTTTAAGCGCGCGTATAGGAAATTTATTTGCAATTAGATGAAATTATTTGTAATCAGATAAAATCGCACGAAATGAAGTGAAATCATGTGATCGGTGGGTCAACATTTTAGCCAGTGGTTACCCCCTTGGTACGAAGTCTCGTTCAGCATTTTCCTAATTATTATTTAAGTAATTATTTTAAATATATTTTCTCCAAACTTTCTTTCGTTTAGCTTAGCATAATTATATATATATATATATATATATATTTTGTATTTTATTCGATTCAAGATTAGACGTCGAAAAAGCGAAAATACAGTCGCTACTCATTTGTTTCAGGATTCTACATTGCCCTCTTAAAGCAGAAGAAAAACAGCACAAACGAAATATACGTTATTAAAGTTTCAAGCCACTTTGATCTCGGTGAAGTTTTGTCGCAATTGACGAGTTGTATAAACCTTACTAGTCCGAACACCGATATCCGACGCCGAAAAGCAACGGATATCTTTCGAGGAAGCTTTTCTTCTCGCTTTTTGAGTGCATTTGTTGACGTACACGTCTACTCTCGTTAAGATTTGATATTTTTTTTCCACAATAAAGTTATCATTATACATGACGCGCAAGGGAAATATCTGGTGCACCGCGGCGTAATTCATGGCTTATACGGATAATGAATATGCCGATAATATCGAGTACATTGTTTCAAGTAAATACGGTAGTCCGCCGCTCCGTGTGGCCTCCTGTTCGCACACAGAGTTCGCGCACGCATAATATACATGCGGGGATACGGCTAAATGCAATTCTATACGGATCTCCAGGATCCTAATGGATTCCCATTTCTGTAAGCCATGTCAGGCTCACCGCTGGAAGACCGGCAATACGGAGAACCGCGTCGAATTTCGCACTTGGCTTTGAATGCCGAACAATCCCGACGATCGCTCGGCGGCCCGCTGACATTATTCTCATTGCCGTTTATGACAATAGCCGATTCGCTCGACGTAACCTGACAACACATTTAATAATAATATAGCGGGATATATATATAGGTGTATGATCTAATCTCTGATTCTCTCGTCGCGCGCCGAGGAGCCCGATTCATTATTTCCGCAGCTATAACTGGAGAAATCCATGCGAATCGACGTAGCGAATATTTGTACGTACGTTTATGAAACGAGTACAGTTTGTAAGCGCTCCGCAAATACAAAGGACTTTAATATCTACGTGGTATCTTCCCGCGGGTTGTAATTAAAAACCTGTCGCAAACGCGACTGTAAGTTCCGAACAAGTAAAAACGTCGGGACGAAGTGCCTCCGTGTACTTTTCCCGCGCGTCATATGTAATAATAATGAGATTACTTTGCTGCTTCAGATACCCTCGTAGTTTATCTTTGCGCTAATATTTCGATGCGATCTATTCAGGCTGGTGTCCCGAGATTTGGGACAAGATACTATGCTGGAACTCGACGGCACCTGGGCAACTAGCTGTTCAGCAGTGCCCCTCTTACATCGTGGGTTTCGACATCGCTCATGTACGTAGTCATGATCACGTGCATAGGTACATCAGCTGGATCGATCCGGGTAAATTCTCCGGAAACTACTTTCAACTACCGCGGCGAAATTTTACTCGTCGGACTAATGACACCGGAACGAATTAATATCGAGATCCTCGTAGAACTGAGACACTTAATTAGATCAGTCCCTCGATCTAAGAACGCCACTCTCTGGCGCGTAAGATCCTCACGGATCGACGATAGAATCCACTTTTCAGATTCAAGTGATTGAAAAGACTCCGATGCGGTTGCGAACGACTCCTCGACGAGTTCGAGCTCCGTTTTTCCTCCGACAAAGTCTCTCTACGCGTCATCTCGTTTTAAAACTTTCTTACATTCGCCTTTAGAACGTCTTTGCAAATAATCCGTGAATTTTTAAATTCTATCTTGGAGAAAATTGGTCTAAAACGAATTTGAAATAAGCCTCTACTTCGGTGCGCTCTATTACGTAGCTCGAGAGACAGCGATGTATCCGGATATGTTTGTTCGAATCATCATCGTCATCGAATCGATTAAAGAATTAAAAGGGAGTGCATATTTCAGGCATTTGCCTCGAAGCAATGCATGCCGGACGGTCAATGGTACTGGAACGCCGAAACCGATAGCACGTGGACCAACTTCACTCAGTGCTATCGAAACCCTCTAGTCACCGTCTTAATGAACATATCGGATGCAAACAACGCCACTCTCATTAAGGTAAAAAAAAAAGACAGCGGACCGGGACAAGAGATTATTCGTCTCGCTGAGAACGTAGGTGAGGATAAGTAAATTCGGAACAATGAAACCTTCTCCCGGGTTTCCGCGGCACCGCCGCGTGGAGGCCGGCGGAGATGAAAAGATCGATTGGAATCACACGGCGACATGACGTCAGTTGCTTTACTCGTGAGGAAATGAGAGCCGTAAACGACGTTTTGTCCAGTGGGAGGGGGATGCGTCACGACGCTTTGCACTGTTCACGGGGACCCCGAGACGTTGCTGCGGAGTTAGTTTCCAGACTTGGACGATAATGAACCGAGCGGGCGAGCAAATGAGCCAATAGCTACGGCGTAATGGTGTTATCGAGGAGGTCGGGCGGAAAGTACTGAAAAGAATTTTCCACCAAGACCCGCGCGCTTAATTTTTAAGTGAGGCAGAATTCGCACACATCGCGTAACGTTAAAATAGAGGCGTCAGCTTTAGAACTTTTAGAAAATTAGAGGGAATCCTATATTTTTCCAATAATCACCTGTCTGACCTTTTTTAGCAATCTTTTAGTCCGTAGCTGTTAGCGCGCGAAAGTTAAGTGAGAAAAATAACAGAGCAAATAATTTCTCGTTAAGAGGGACGTTTACTTAAATTACTCCATTATCCAAATGGGTTAAATATTTGAGACACAAATTGACAACTTTAATACAAATTTAATACAAACAAATACTCAAGGAAGGAAGCGCACTCAATGCGTGAATATAGGACAACTATACAAATTTTGTAAGGAGCTTTCGTAAAGCGACGACGAAATCGTAACGTAATAGCAAGTGATCTCCTTGAGGATCATAAAGCTAGCATGAAAGGGAGTACACAATGAGACACGGAATGCCGTCAATGTACAGTACAGTAGAGATCTGTATGGTAGAGAATTAGAGAGGTTTATGAAAGCCATAAATTAAACACAATTTCAAACTTTGGTAATTTGCTCTCCTATATAGTAGAGATCATATGACATTGTTTTCGGGAGCTTTGTCGAAGTTACTGCCAACAAATTAATTAGGAAATGTCGCGCTTAAGATTGTTTGCATGAAATAAATCATTACGTTTAATGCACTGTCAATGGCAATTACTTAAAAAATTATTTATATTTATAATTTATAACTTCGCGGAGAAATCTATATTTTTTTGTTGTTTCAATTAGTTTTACAATTGATCGTAAACGCGCGTCGTTGAATTATTTTATTAATTAAATTCATAGTCGAATGGTAAGTCAATAATTATTTCCCATCTAGAGTACAATTGCATGTTGTAGAAATTCTTCCCAATCGTGAAGACCATCTCGAAACTCGGCTACTCAATTTCGCTCTTCACTCTCATCATCGCATTTTGCATTTTGGCCACCATCAAGTAAGTATACTTGTAATATAATGTGATCTTAACATATGTTTGCAAAACAAGGCGTCTCGCTTTCAACCTTTTTCATTCTTTTAATATGAAAAGATAAAAAAATTATTGTCAAATGTCTCTTAAAAACGTTTTATCATATTTCTCGATCGTAATTTCTTTATTCCCAATATATCGTGTTGTAAATAAGGAATTTAACGTCGCGGCTGCCCCTGAAAAGGCCATAAAATTTAGTGTCTTGTTTACGCTGATATAAAATCGTGACTCTTGAGGGTCACGCGGGATCTTCTCATCGCGGGCACGATTGGTTTTGTCTCAAAATCATATACCGATGTCTCACGGCGCCGCATAAAGTCTCGCACCACCTAATTAAAACGTAATTCGCGTTGCCACGTTCAAGTTTGTCTCCCATCGGACGTAGGAAATTGCGATGCCCGCGGAATATATTGCACATGCACCTGTTCGTCTCGTTCGTGATGCGAGCATTCATGGCGCTACTGAAAGACATGCTCTTCGTGTCCGGCATCGGACTGGCGGAGGCGGTGATCAAAGTCAACGATGGCTTCTGGCTACTCGACGAGAAGGAGAGCAATTGGCAATGTAAGACGTTCACCAGTCTGTGGCAGTACTTCATCCTGGCTAACTACTCGTGGATCCTGATGGAAGGTATATATCTTCACAATCTGGTCTTCCTGGCGCTTTTCACCGACTCCAATTCCAGCATCGCAGGCTACGTCGTTTTCGGATGGGGTAAATAAGATTAATCTCAGAAATTACCGTTAATCCTGAGGGATTTGCGGGATTTTCGTCACATATACCTGCATTAGTTGTAATTTGTCTTGCACTCTTTAATTAGTAACTACTTTCCAATAGTATTTTGATGCGTTATATTAACAAGATATGCAAGATAAAAACTTTTTAAAATAAATTTAAAGAGGAACAAGATATATTTATACTGACTCTTCTCTTTACTCAGAATTTAATTTGAGATGAATTTTCAAGAACTGAAAGGCTTTGTATTCAAAGATGAACGAAGACAATGAAGACGAATCAATGAATTGCTCTTATTAGTTGATTAATCGGCAAGAAAATATTCTTTTTATTTTTAATAAACGTTTGTTATTGTTAATTTGTCTTTTTATTGCTATTTATACTATTTTAATGATGACAATAAAAAGATAGACTCTGAAATTTCATTGATAGAAATCTTGATTAACATGAAATAAGAGACAGTGTATAAATCTCTAGATCTCTTTTGAAGTATCCTGACTGTCTCGGCAGCAAAGGGCAACAGAATTCCCCACAGGAAAATGTAGAATCCTTCAATTTTCAAGAATTCTCGAGAGTTCTAAAAAATCATGACGGTTCTACGTGAAACATGACACATCGATTGCAAAAATCATCGAAACTTATGCAACGATACGACAATAATGGCATAATTTCGGCTATATTGTTATTACACATATCTTCCTCCTATAGTTTTCCTCAAATGGTGTTTCAACTGAATTTATCTCAATTACACCTTAGGCATCTTTTTTAAATACATATTTATTATACGTACACATTTTTAATTTTCCTATTTTGAGATTATTAATTCTCCATTGAAGTGAAATTTCGGAGTCTATCTTTTAATTATCATCATTAAAATAGTATGAATAGCAATTGAATTGTAGAAAAACATTCTTTTTCCCTCTATACTTATAAAAACTTCAGGGGAGACGCCAGAACTCACGTTCTACTAAATTATTTACCTCCTCTTGTCATTAGAGAAGCTTAATAAGCAAAACTTATTATAAGCATAATCCATTTAATAAATTTCTCATGCGATTGTCACAACTTTGTCTTGCAGGTTTGCCAGCCATATTTATCTTACCTTGGGTAGTTACGAGGATCATATTCCAGGATACGTACTGCTGGACGACCAACGAGAAGCCGCTCTTGTTCCTCTTCATACGGGTGCCCACGATGCTCTCTATTCTGGTAAGAATGCCTCGTTGAGCTCGTAATTAATTCAGTCGCACATTAATCCATCGCTCTTATCTGGCTACGCTAGATAAATTTCGTGCTCTTCATCAACATCGTGAGAGTGCTGCTGGTGAAGCTCAAGTCCACCATGTCGGAGGAAACGCAAAGATACAAGTAAGTTCTGTGCGTACAAGTGACACAAAAGCTATTTCCGATAGAAATACGATGTAATTGATAATATTATTTCCGTCCTGGTGAAATTATTAATGAAACGGCATGTGCCAAAAACTATTTTGTGTAATAGAATGTGCAAATATATGTCTAACATGATGATTAGGCGTTGGGCTAGAAGCACGTTAGTCCTGGTGCCACTCTTTGGGGTTCACTACGCGTTCTTCATTGGGATGTCGTACAGCATCGGCGTAAATGAGACCGTAGAAGTCGTCTGGCTCTTCTGCGACCAGCTGTTCGCGTCTTTCCAGGTAACTCGCAATTATTAATGGCGCTACTTTACTTGTCGCCGGGCTGCCTTAAAGTTGTTACGCAAGAAATCGTGTAACAACTGCCGCATCATCAATTATGTCTCGCCAAACAGCTTAACATTAATAAACAGTTAATCCACTAAGTTGAAAAAATTAAGTTGCACGTACATTGAACAGATAGATGATTTTATGTCTTAAATTTGATACCGCTGGTTTTACGTATCTTTATATCTTGAATAGCGTAATATTTAAACAGCTGCGCAGACGGTGGAGTTGAACGTTGTTTTAAGAACTTCTTGTAATTCTTTCTCTTTCGTTTTATCTATGCATTTTAATTCATTGCTTCCTTTCTCTTAATATTTATTTTTTTTAAGTAACAAAATAAAAATTTAATAGGAAAAATAAAACACTTTTGTACGTGTATGAAGAATACAAGTTTTCTAAAGATTTGCGTTCGAGAAAGGGATCCAGACTTTGCTGGGCGAGAATTGAAATCGAACGACGGGACGATCGATGTTATCTCTGTTTCCGAAAGGGCTTTTTCGTGGCGGTGCTGTATTGCTTCCTGAACGGCGAAGTGAGGGCCGAAGTATCGAGAACACTTCGCGGAATCAAGTGGACGCGTCTACGTGGGTTCCGATGGGGTCCGAGACCGTCGACGCATTCGGTCAGCACGTGCAGCTGCAACAACGTCTCGAAATCCAGTCGTCGGAACTCAAGAAGACCCAGATGGTGGAAGTCGCGCTGGAAGGCGCCCTCCTGTCTTTACCAGGATCGCGCCATTCGTCGGTCCACCCACTCGATGGCGAGTACACAAGGTGTCCCCTTAAATCCTACGAACGTCGTGTCCCTTCGTGTGTCTCGTTCTTGTTAAGTCATAGTGTTTCGAAGCGACTTCGATCAAACACCGATTAACTTCATCGGCGTGATTGCAATCCAGCAAGCTGACTGGACTTTCGGAATAAAATCCATTGTTCCTGATTTACTCTTTCCCTCTGTATATAAACAAAATCAATTGCTCTATTTAATTTAAGAATATATTATTTGGTAAATTAATCGCCGACTAACAATAAGTTAATCGAGATTTGGTCGAAGTCCCTGTTACTGTTTAAATGTTTGCTTTTGATCTCTTTGCATAGATGATTAGAAGATGGGCTACGCTGATGATTTTCAGAAATAATTCAAACTCTTCTACTAAATTTTACGGGATACTTTGAATAAATTTCAGAAATTCGAATAAAATATGAAACAAATTATGCAATTTTTTAAATTTTGCTTAACTTGGCTACTTTGGATAACCATTTGAATAAATGATAAATAAGTCCGGTACCGTGGCATTTATATTCAATCACCTAAACGTGACGCAAGTGAAGACATAACGGATTTATTTAGAAAAATTCGCTAACGTTGATCGAGCGCGTTAGACGTTAAAGTGGGTACGGGAGATCGTTATTCTCTGTCTCAGAAATTCTAAAGTGGGAATATTTCACATAGCTATGCTGAAAATAATATAGCGCGATACACCGCATAGAGAAGTCAGACGTCGCGACGGGTTGGCGCCCTTAAAGTGACTAAATCCGAAGTCAGGGAGTCCGGTCGATAGCGTTGCTGCGAAGAGGAGAGCCCGAATGCTCGAAATCCGCCCGACGCGCAGTATTGCGCGGCGTACATGACCCGCAGCGCAATTTTGCAGATGTTGGAACGAGAGGAGGTAGTTTAGCGAGCAGCCGGGGCTACCTAGAGATCGCGGGTAACGGCCAGCCGCCGAAGCAGCCGGCGACGCAGGATCATCACGCTCATCACACATCGCCCATGTGCAGCAAGTACACTGATCAATCGCTACTCTCCTTCTGCTCGGTGAGTATCATCGTTTTGCGCGAGTATCCGTAAGTATCGCGTCCACCACGTTATAATCCCCGTAATCCAGTTGCCGATAAAATTCTCTCTCTCTCTCTCTTTTTCCATCGCGTTCCGATATCGTCTGCGGAATAGATATGAGACCGAACGAGAAAAGCCGGGCAAGAACAATCGCTCTCGAAAGCGCAAATATTTAGAGACGTGAAGTATATTTATACAATTTTTACTTTGTATAAATTAATCAAATAAAATTATGTAATCGTAGAAAATCAAATGGCAGTTTGCGCGCCACGCTCGTAGAATTAATATTTTAATTTAATACAGAGGAGTGAGGCGAAATATTTCGTGGAAACTTGTTATCAATTTTATGTACAGGCAAGAGCCCGTTTTACGACTCTTCAACATTAGTCTTATTAATATTATCTAAATAGCTTAAATATAAATGAAACATGTGTTAAAAATGTTTAAAACAATTTATTATTCTTAAAGACCAGCAATATTTTAGTACATACTTGGGAAAATTTTCATAATTTTGGGACCTATCTTCTATAATATTGTGTGTGTGTATACAGAGGAAAGTCCCCTATTATGAGGCAAGTTCCTAATACGAGGTAGCGGGGTTTCTGTTAAATTAACAAGTATCATCTATTGGCTCCACCATGAATTTATTGCTCTTGAAGTGAAATTTGTTTAGTGAAAAATTCATTGTTAGATCGTGTAATCGTCGCGAGAAAAGATTTGTGATCGAATTTGGACGTTGAAAACCTGCTATCTCACAATAGAAGCCTATCTCATAACAGGGAACTTTCCTCTACATTGATTTTACTTTACGGCTTTTACGACGCTGTTTTGCTGGAACCGAATAGCCCCGTCGCAAAACGGGTCCTACCAGCATATTTAACGAGATTAAATGTAAGATTTTAATATCGTGCAATATTGTCTCCTATAATAGCTACACCGAGAAATATACTTGAAGCTCATAACTTAAGTAAAAATTGACAATAGCCGTCGCCTGAATGGATTCATTTCGCGATTGATTCATTTATTAATTGCTTCCGAAGTTCTATCACGCGGGTGAATGTCCAACGTTTTTCTGCCTCGGAACAGAAGCGATTGTGTTGTCCATTTTTCCCGACTCGAGATGGCTCTCTGCCGAATTAACGATTGCCTCATTCTTTCAGATGTCGGATGCGTCGGGGCCGAATGTCGACAGGATTCGCGACCAGCATCGATGGAGCGACTCCGAGTGCTGTCACCTCGAATACGAGTTACACAATCTGCAGCAGCATCGCGGACACCCGTGATAACGCCCGCATTTCGCGGATAGGGAAAAAAACGCGTGTGGCCTGTCCCATAAACGTTCAACGAGCGTTTAAACGAACGCGCGTGCCGTCGTCGAAAGAGGAAGGATAGAATTAGAGGGATTTCTAAATCCCCCGCTGTAAATTCTCGGCAGAGCAAAGAGATGGAGAAGGATAAAAAAAAGTTGATTCCTTTGCCCGTTTTCTTCCTCCGTCGCGTCTTAGCGGCTTTGCAAAACGGAGAGACTGAGTCTTTTTTTTTTCTTTTAGCTGTATCATATCTTTTACAGGAATACCGTGTCATTTGCATAGCTGTCCGTATCTTAATTCGCGCGATTTTATGCGTATGATAATGTACAGAGAGTGTTCAATATTTTAGTATTTTTCAGGATTCGTTGGAATTTCCAACGGTCTCGCGTCGATGTACCTCGGTGTTTCGACATGCGCCGCCATCCGTTACTTACACCTAAGCCCGGTTCAGCGAAAATGCCGAACCGCTGAAAGCTCTGCGACGATTTCCACGTGCACACAGTATAAATAAATGAAAGCTGCTCGTTGAACTTTGATACCGTATCGTCGCCGTATCGTCGCAAATAGTCCGTTATCAGCAATCCTATTAACAACCACGTTGTACTGCAAACACCGCGTAAACATTAAGACACTTGCAGATACCTCATTTGAAAACCGTGAAAGCTCTATTTTTACACACGGCGGAATAGGCTCGGGATATCATTTATACTTTCGTTCATTATTTATCGTGAAGATGGTATAAAAAAAAAAGTATCAGTAACGCTATTTTTTCAGCGCGTAACTTAATAGTATTGGAAATCTTGTTCAACAAGTTCCTAGTTTTTAAGACTTACTACTAAATATATTTAAAAATAATATGTATATGAGATAATAAATGTTGGCAAATTTCTTGTTAAGGAAAGCGTCGATAGCGCCGAGTGATGAGCGTTATCAATTTTACGATAAGAGCGTTTCGTTCCGAGAATGAGCGCTCGGTTAAACATTTTACCTCGTAAGCTCTCTCGCTACATGTATGTAAATGTGTATATATTTATATCAAGATCGGTTAAACAAATACTTGATGTACACAACTTAAATCAATTTTATGTTTAAATTATGATACATTATCATTTCAGATATATTAAAGTGAAGACAGGACGAACATAACAAATCTTTTATTATCCAACTTATGTACAGTTTTGTAGCCAGGTTTCTTTGAAAAAAACTAATAATTTCTCCTGTATTTACACCATTTAATCGCATTAAAAAATAAATACTTATCCCTTTATACTTTACATATGTATATGTATATCTGTACTTTGGACGTGTAATATTAATGTACGACATATAAAAATTGCCTGCAGCACAATACTGACTTTGAAAAATTATCTGTATACAGGAATGTCGCAACGCTTATAACAATCCCTTGATCGGCAACGATGGCATCCAGGAAGAAGAGTCGTCCTTTAATTGATCAAATTTCAACTTGTTTATAAGGATGCTAGTCACAATCTTGTCTGCGTCATGCGTTTGCCCGTAGTAATCCACGAACAAGCCTTCTGGGTCTATCAAGTATATAATGATGGTGTGATCCACCTAGAAAAGGGAAACGCGGTGTCGCAGGATCAATGACGATCAATTCTCTCGTGCGGATCTTATTACGATTATTAATTTACTAACGATATAGTCGTCATCCTGGTCTTTGGGGCCGCTACTGAAGTAAACTCTGTACGCCTTGCACGCTTGTCCAACCTGTTCGATACTGCCAGTGAGACCTATGATCTTATCGGAGAACTCCTTGACGTACTTGTCGACGACAGTGGGCGTATCCCTGACTGGATCCACTGATATGAAAATTGGTTGTATCTTTAAATTGTGTTCCTTCTCTGCAAAAACAGAAATAACGTACACTGTCAGTCGCAGGACTATGCTCGTGAGTACTTTTTAATTATTGCAATCGACTTGAATCTAACGCTCACCGAGAGCGTCCACCACGTTCGTCATCTTCTCGATCTCGTCGGGACAGACGTCCGGGCAGTGCGTAAATCCAAAGTATATCAACACCCACTGCCCCAGGAAGTCGTCAGACTTCACTATCTTCCCCTCCGTGTTCACCAACTCGAATTTGCCACCGATCTTGGCTTTGCCCAACTGCCGTCTTCTCTCCCGCGCCATGGTCTTATCTTTCATCTCTCTAAGGTAATTCATATAAAACACGAGACCAACACCAACAATGCCAGAGACTGTCAAGCTTTTCCATGTAATTGGCGATCCCTTTTTGACCTTTGGCGGTTGCTTGGGCAAGCTGGACTGTTGACGTAACGCGCACGACGTGTTCATATATCTAAACTGAATGCACAAAAAGATCAATTAAACCGAAAGAAAACTTCGTTAGAAAATTTACGTGCATTAAAGTTCACTGTTAAGGAAACAGAATAATCGTTTTCGAAAATCACAAACATATAAACACAAAATTTGCATGCCATGTGCAGAGATAATCATACGATTCGCAATTTGCGTATGTCATGCAACAATGCTGATTCTTCCACGGCATTCATAATCTGATATTCATCGACATTAATAACGATGGTGTCAAATAAAGACGGTAAAGCTCTCATTTTCAACGTAAAGACTAATAAATAAATATCTCTGCAAGTTGGCGGCATGCGACAGTGTGTAAAATATCTGCTGCAAAAAAATGAATATGCAACAATCTTTTCACGAAAAATTACCTTCGTAAAGGCATTGTGACTCCTGCTCAATAACGCAACGGATCTCGACATTAATGTCGACATTGCACTCGCTCAAAATTAACTTTTTCTTTCAAAGAAGAACTTTGAGGTTATATTAACGTTCGCCGGGCTTCGGAGTACGCACCGTGCGCGCACATACGAGGAATCGTGAATGAAAGTAGATGTCGCGACATTCCGCGCGTGAAACCCGTATTAAATCCCGCGGGCGCGTTAAACTTCAAGTCAAATCCCTAAAAACTCGCGTCGCGGTCAATTAAAAATTTGTAGGTTCATTATGTTGAAACACGGGTAGGTAGAAAATGAATAGGTAGGTCTATAAGTCGGAATACAGTTAAGATATAGAAATAATAAATTTACTAACGATCTTTTTGGTTGCAATTACATACATAAATTAAATGCAATAGAATAAACTGTAGAAGTATTGTATGACTCGATGATTATTAAAAACTTTGATAAATATACGCATTAGACGCATATTTTACTTTACAAGAATTTCGTGTTGTTACGTGCATACCGAATATTTCATATGTAACGTTGAGTGAAATATTGTATTGTACAGATAATTTATTTTTAATTTTATAATGTTGTATGCATTGTCAAGTAAATTATAAGTAAAATGAAATAAATAATAAACACGATAAAATCAAATTGTAAAGAAATGAGGACCGCCGATCAAATTCGGCGGGGGTGGTGGAGGGCCTCTACAAGTTGGTCTGTCTCGTTTCATTATGCTGAAACACGGGTAGGTAGGTCTATAAATCGGAGTCAGGGATAGGGGAACATACAACAACGAACCGATTTCTTCCTGAACGCACACTTTTCCAACTACAAGATCAAAATGTTTATTATAATCATTGTCGTTTACATAAGTTTCGCACACGTCTCTCTTACAAACGATTTTGTGCACAATTAAATAGTCGAATTGATTTGACTCTCGCAAGCTATCGAGTTCACTGACGTTACTTTATTCCGTGCAGAGTATACAACAAAAAGTGTCACAATTACAAAAATGTATGAACGTGCGAGGCGCGAGGCAGCGGATTTTCTTCCGCAGCGCTGCATATTTACAGACACATATCCCAGGCCGTGATCCCAAAAAGGTTCGAAGGATGCTGATGAGAAACGAATATCGATGATCGAGATAGCGTTCGCGTACGTGGAACGTGCAAGCCCTTAACCCGAGGTCTCCTTGCTCTGTTTTTGCTGGATCATTTCCCTGATCTCATTCTCGCTCTCCTTCAAGCTCCGCTGTAGGTACGTCTTGTTATTCTCTAGCGTCTTGATCTTCTCGTCCGACGTTTTTATCCTACTGTCCAAGCCATCCTTGACGTTGTTCATTTTATCTAAGAGGAACATGCGGCCGACAGACTCGTACATCCTCGTTTCGTCGGGCAAGCTGCTGATCTCCTTTGTAGTGAGCTCCGCCCGCTGCTTGGTGCGCCGCAGCTTCTCGATCTGTATATCGGCCAATTTTAGCTTCTGCTTAGTGTCCACCATCTTCTCGTGCAGCTTGGAGAAGGCTTGCTTCAACTCCTCGTCCAGCACCTTCGACATGGTCGATTATCACAGTCTCTTCTACGGATAAAATTACCCAACGTGATCCTGAAAATCTTTAAAGTTTACTAAACGTTAGCCTGAAAGTATTCAAGTGGAAAGCGAGTTTGTTGTCTTATCGACTGCATTTAATTTCCATGCTGATGTGTACATAATCATGTTACATCCGGATAAAAGAACAGTCTTTCATGTGTACGGACTGACACTTAAGCCTAATCTACAATGTGCTTTCTGCATCTGGAAACATTCTATTTTATATAAACAAATCGAAACGCTTAAAACATTTGTCGACAATGTACGATTGTACAGTATACAATATACAATTCATTCACTTGCGCAAACTTTTTAAATGTATTTAGTGACTACAAAATAGAATGTTTCTAGATACAGAGAGCACATTGTAGACTTTAACGTCCCACGTTAGCAGCAGCGGAAAATCGCCCCCGCTTCGAAACAAGTCGAATGAGAAATTGTGGCCGGAGTTTCGACTCCTTACCTCAGATTCCTTCTGGAGCGACGTCGTGAACTGTATCTTGTACAATGTTTCTAACCCCAACACCATATACGTCAACTACCGCGGAGGTAAAGAGAAACGCGAAGTGAGTCGCGCTTCCGATTATCGAGACCGGCGGCTGTATCGATACATTCGATACTTTCCAGCTTCGTACGGTCAATCCTAACCTCGGAATTTATAAACGAGAGAGAGAAGTTTCTCCACGGCGAACGTCTCTGGAGTCCAAGTAAGATCCGTAACGAAACATTGATCGACTGATCAGCTGTCGTATATTCGTTATAACGTTATCGTGTCATTCGGGCAGGTCGCGACGCAAGGAGGTTAAGAGGCGCCGCTGCATCACGCGGTGGTAAACAATGGCATCGGCGACAGCGTCGTCGTCGTCGGCGACGTCGTCGTCGGGCGCGAGCCAGCCGTCATGGGAGCCGCACCGGATCACGCATCTCAAGCCGTCCTTCGACAGCCACGAGATGGCCCTCGCCTGCCGCAAGGACCTCTGGCACAAGTTCATCGTCTTCGACGGCGCCCTGTACCGACGCACCAACGTCCTACGCGCCGTTATAACCACCTGCGAGCCGGCGCTCCTGCTGCCGATCATGTACGCCGTCGAGGACGAGAACAAGAGCACGTTCCTCGCGCAGTGCGCCAGCAACGCGATAGAGAACCTCGTGAAGCAGGGTCTGTGCATAACGCTGTCCGGCGGCCAGGAGCTGCGCATGGACGTCGTGCTCGGGTTCCTCGGCGTGCAGGAGCTGCAGGTGAACACGAGCAAGATCATCGCGGAGGCCCTGCACAGCCGGTACGAGCCGATGAAGAAGGTGTTCAATCTGGACGACTTCGAGAACGAGAAGGCGCTCGGCTCGATATTCTGTCCCATCTCCATACCGAAGATCTTCGACCTGGTGCTGCGCTGCAGCAAGACGGGCATCATGGGAAACAGCCGGGAGCTGCAGCAGCTGCGGCTGCCCGTGCGCGAGCTGAGCCTGAGGAACAACAAGCTCACGGCCATCATACTGTTCGACAAGTTCTTCAATTACCACCTGACCAAGCTGGACCTGAGGCACAATCAGATCCTGGACGTCAAGTATCTGCGTTACTTCTGCGAGTTCAAGATAAGCGAGGTTTGGCTGGACGGGAATCCGCTGTGCGCCCAGTACACCGACTCCCAGAGCTACATACAGGCCGTGAAGAACATTTTCCCGCATCTACAGACGCTGGACGGGGTCGTCATAGGAATGCAGAAGAAATTTGTGCCGAGCATACAGAGCAATTATCTCAGCAACGGATCGAAGATCCCTCTGATCAGGCAGTTCATCAAGCATTTCTTCACGCTCTACGACCAGGAAGATAGAATAGTTCTGAACGGCCTGTACGATAAAAATGCGTTCTATTCCATGACGTTAGGTAGCGTAACGAATCACGTGCATAAAGAGATCGTCAAGACGTTCGCCACAAACAGAAACTTGTTGAAGTTCGTCGATTACGCCAAGTATCACGAGTTGTTGTTTTGGGGGCCTGAGAAGATCATCACCGCCCTTAAGCGGCAGCCACCGACAGCGCACAATTTCAAAACGTTTCACATAGACTTGTTGTGCGAAGAGGACAGTTACATAGTCGTATCCGTGCAAGGATTATTTTGGTATCGCTTGTCCCACTGTCCGCCTATGCTGTTCAACAGAACTTTCATTATCGTACGGAAAGAAGACAACGAATACTGCATCGTCAACGATCAGTATCACATCGACGGTACGCCCGCCAGCGCGACCAACGACGTGAAATTTGACCCGAGACCCGTCCCTAAATTTACTCCGACGGTGCTCAGCGTGTCGGAAAAGGAACAGCTGCTTAGATTTTTACGCGAACTCACTACGATGAACATTCGATACTGCTACAAATATCTCCAGGACGCGGAATGGGATATAAGAAGCGCGATCACTATATTTATGAAGAATTACTCGGTCAATGACGTTCCTCCAGAAGCCTTTCAATGAACGCACAATTGTGTTGGACTTCGATAGTTTTTAAGAGAATAGCTTAGTGTAAAAAAAAACACATGTCGTTTGTAAGAGAATAATGCACACCAATTTTTCTATTGATCCATTTATACTTAAATAATTGCTAATATTTCATTTATATAAAGGGTTCTTGTTTATACAGCTTAAACTTGTTGAAAGGAAAGAGATAAAAAAATCTCCCGTCATTCTGTTTCAATTGTAAAAAAGTTTTACGTGTAATATTTACAAAGCTAACGGACTAACGTGTTAACAACCTTGCTGTGTATTTAACAGAGCGATAGTCTTCGTGATGTAAGGTATCGTGTTGACGTTCGAGTTCACTCCTAACTCGAACACTCTCTGCATCAACGGTAAAGCGTGTTCTGCAATGTAACGGAAGAAAAAGTTATTTACGAGAGCTTGCAAAATTGTGTCGTACCTCATTACGAGTCCGTTGTTGCAGCATCATATCGGTTTTACCTTGCATGCACAACACGATATCCGGTAGTTTTTCCAAGGCTGACATAAGAACGTCCGCCCTGTGGCTGTCCAGGCACTTTTGGAATGCGGACAGTATATTCGCGTTCGACGCGGGACGATACTTCAATGCCCTGGCGAGTAGATTGTGGGCGAGCGTTCTGATGTTGCCCTGTGGCGATACAAGCAGCTCGGCTATGTTGTCCGTTATGGGCTCCAAGACTGAAGGTTTTCGCATCGCCACATGCTCGATCTCTTGTAGCGCACTTAATACGTCTGCAGAGGATGGGACTATCGTTTAGTATCATTTTCTCGCATCGTCGTTAGATAATTTGTGATACCAAGAATTAAATACACAATGTGTATTAATTGGATAAGTTTATCATTTAAACGGGGATTTATAATAGAACTGCTTCTCGCACCTTCACCGTGCAACTTGGTGAGCGTCGCCAGCAGCGGTTGCCAGTGTTGCGGAATAGCGGGTTCCGGGGGATATAGCGTAGGAGTCACAGTGATTAAAATGTCATCTACATCTTCTCCCTCTCTCGGTATCGGTATTCCTGATACGAGCGTCCTCAATGCAGGCACGTTAGAATAATTCATCTGAATCTCACTGCACACACACGTATAAATTATACAAACGTATCAGGTGTAAATAGTTTGCCACGTGCATAGAAAGTAACTTACTGTAAAACGTATGCGTGCTTCTGAAGATATTTCAATGCTGGTTGTGGATTGTGTGACACGTACGACTGTAGTAACGACACAAATCTGTTCAGCAAGGAGATGAGATCCTTTGTGTGCCCATAATTCTGCAAGCAAGTCGTAAACGTATTAAGAACGGTATTCGAATAGTCTATTTAAAGGATTTGGAGTGGCAAGAAGCGGCAAGATGCACTGAGAAAATTTTATGGCAATCAATGAAGACTGTAAAATCATTTACTGCTTTTCTTTTCGTAGTGCAGTTGTTTAACCAAATTTGTAATTCACAATCGCGATTTCTCTTTCTATATGTAACGCTGCCTCAAATCTGTTATTTCTCGATCGTTAAATTACGTTTGTATCGTTACAAGAGATATTATAGACAAGTGGAGATACCTGAAAACACTGGAGATAATTTTCCAAAGTATTCTCCAGCGCAACTTTGTGTTGCTCGTTAAACAGATGCGGCTGCAACAGCTCTAACAACCCCATAACTTGCATGAAAAGATTCAAATGGTGGCCGGATCTAAACGGACCGAAGTCGAGATAGCATCGTCCCATCAAGGAGGACGCTAGCATTGGTAATTGCCGCAACACCAATATAGGGTGTACCGCAGCCATTTTTCTCGCGCAGAGTTCGAATTCCTGGGACTTGGAATTCCACGCCTTTTGCCTCGGAGTCGCCGCCAGAGCCGTCAGCAAGGAGTGGCTCATACAATCGAGCACCGAGCCCGTCCAATCGGTTATCCTCGAGCCGTTAACGAACTTGTTGGCTTGAAAAGTGTCGAGGTAACAAATGACTTTCGGGATCTTCATGTACATGTGCAACAGAAACTGATGCGCCATATCCGCCGAGTCTACGCTGAAAGTCGAATACAATCATTTAGTCGAATGCAGTAAACGTTAAATGTGTTGTAAAATGTGTACGATCGCACAATTCGTACTTTGAATTATCCATCATACGTTCCGCTAAATAGTTCACCACATTAGAAATCAGGCCGTCTTCGGTGGATATGCAATGTAATAGGAGATCGAGTCTTATATCCATCCTCGCTAAGGCGGCATTTCTGTTCTGCATTTTACAAATAATAACGGCCTCGGACACCAGATATGCCACTAGATTAATCAGCTGCCGTTCGTCCAACAGCAGAATATTCTCAGGAACGTAATGTTTCGGCGTGAACTTGTCCCGGCCCTGCCACAGCTTAGGATTACATGTCAAGGCCCATAAAAAGTCCAGAACAGCAGTAGGATCGTATCTACAAATACATTATATTCGTGAATATAAAGAAGATACGCCAAGTCGATTTAGAAACAAATTATATATGTCACAGTCGTTGAACAAGAAGCTTGACAAAGCAGAAGAGAGAAGAGTGTTTATCTCCGTTTTACTCACCCGTCATCGCATTTATCTAACAAATGGCCGACGCACTTGTACAGAGTCGTCCAACTCGCTCTGTGCGTCAAGAGCGTTAACAAGTATGGTCTGCAGGAGTGCGAGCTCACAACGTTCTTGTCGATGTTGATATGCACCTTCGTCTTTCCAAACAGCAGCTTCATCTGGAGATTCGGACAGATGCCGATCAGCTCGGGCTCCACAGAGGCCAGCCAATCGATGAGCAAACCCGTACGAGGTTTCAACGCGCCTTCGTTACTATCGCTGACCAATAATCTCGCCATAGCCTCGACCAGGTCGTCGTTCTTCTGCTGCTTCAGACAGAGATCCAGCAGTCTTCGGCCCATACCCTCGAGATTCACAGAGTCCGTGCCTTCCAGTATCGAGCCAGGGCTCTCGCCGCGGCTCTGCAGCAGCATCGACAGCTCCGCGCGTTGAGGCGTTTTCGTCAGCTGCATGTTAGCGAAGTCGCGTAGGATCGACAGCACCGGCGCCTTTACGTCGCCTATCAGCGATATCAGGTTCAGGCACATATTACGCGCCAACTCAATAACGTGCTTAGACGTTGACGGCCTCTTGAGCGGAAGCAGTATCACGCGCATCAACGTACAAGAATACTGCGGCATGTGCACAAGCGAGGCCAGGAACAGCTTGACCTGCATAGAACTGAGGACGCTGCATATGTGCTGTATCGCCAGCACCACCGCGCCACTTTCCTTCACGCACGATCTCTGCAGATCCTTCGCCAAGGTCTTGTGCAAACGCCGATAAGCGTCCATTTTCTGTCCCAACGGAATATTCTCGATGAAAAGTCGGTTTATCAAGTGGGGCACGTCAGTTTTCACGGAGCATTGTATGACGGATTGCTTCTGCACCGTCGCACTGGCCGGCAACGGCTGCTGCAGCCTCCCGATCGACACAACGCTCTCGTCCGGCAGTTGCGGTTCCAGCAGCTGCAATACCTGAACGAACACCAATCCACCCGTGGCACCCCTTCGGTGTTGCACCTCCACCAACTGTGCCATGTACGTTTTATCCAAAACCGCTTCACCCACCGAGCTTGGATCGATCTGGACACCCGCGTCGAGCGTGTGAAGCAGTTTACTCATTGACGACACTGGTATTCCAAAGCTTTGGATGAAAAGTACCAATTGCTGGGGTTCAAGATCTTTTAATGCTGCGTCGACTAAACGAGGCACGTTGCTTCTAATCATGCGTAATTTGAGCCAATCTGGTATAAGCAATGCCTCCTCGCTAGTGTCCACGAGGAAGGCCTTGGGTTGTTCCGTTAAGGGAAACCACGTTTCCAGCAAACTATTGAACAGCGGGTCGTCCTCGGACGTATCGTATGTCAATAGTATAATCATAGCGTGCACCACCAGGATGTGCATGGTGCATTCCTCACCGTTGCTCCACTGGACTAGAATCTGATCCTGACTCTCGGACCACTGGTAACCCTCCCCCCTGGGCGATCGGGCCTTCTCAAGATAGTTACAGAAGATCGCCATGAACGCGTGTAACGTTTGCTTGGCTTGCTGATTATCGCTCTCGGTTTGAGGCAGAATGGCTGCGATAATGGTGCTACGTTCGACAACCAGTTGAGAGATCTCGTTGGCTAAATCCGTCAAGTCTGGCAAATCGTCGTCGGCAGTATGCACGGCCAGATACGATATGTACGTGTAAACGAGATCCGGACTGTTCTCAACCTGACAAGCACCACGTAGTGCTGTGGAAACCAGCGAACGTACCGACAAGAAGTGAGGTATCGACGGTAACTTTCGCAGCAGCCATGTCTCCCTGGAAAAAAAAATTGTTAAAGTGCAAGTTTACTTTCCCCCGTGTACCTTCGAGAACATACTTTTCGTTTTCCCCGTCCACGTCCATACTCTCATCCTCGAGGGGTATTGAATCCAAGACCATCTTCAGTCCAGTGATCGCTTGGACGCGACTGCTACTCTGCTGGCTGCTCAATCTCCTTAAAAAGTATTCGAGGACCTCATAAGCGTGCTGCTGATCCTGATTCGGGTCGGTTAGCAGTGTCTGAAGGTGAGCCAGCAACTGCTGCTGTCTGGGCTGCTTCTCGACCGTTTGCGGGCTAGTCGACAATAAGTATTCGCAGAGACACTGCACTGGTAATTGACTCAGAGAGCCCTCGCTGTTCTGCACGAGATCCGCCAGCCAGGGCATGCTCTGCGACGTACTCTGCTGTTGCCTCTGAATGATATCCAACAGGAAATCCGGTTTTCGTGATCGACAGAGCAAATGCCCTAGTCTGTGAGACGTGTTCAACGACTGTATCTGCTCGAGCACAGCCGGTGGCGGTCTTCTGGCAATTCCCTCTGGTTCCATGGTGATCAACTGCGACAGCAGGAAACTATTTTGCTCGGATAACTGGATTCTGGTTGACGCTGCGGCCAAATGCGACTCGTACTCCAGTATCTCCTGTTTCTCCATCGCCTCAACCTGCATTTCCTTCGTACGTTCTTGTTCTATGATCTCCGGTAGGGCCATGGTCGGCGGCGGATATGAGAAATGATTTGTAATACACATTTCCATCAGTGTCCTCAATATAGGATATCGCCTCCATCCTTGCGAGCCAATCGTAAACGGATTGTGAGCAGCCAAAATTAACAGCATTATCCATCCTTTCCAATACAGATTAGCTATCGCCAATGTCGGTGGTGAGTACCCAGCAGGTATGTTTATAGTTCCCGGTGGCTGATAAGTGCTGTGACTAAAAATAAGGTCAATTATCTCCATTTTATCGATTTGTAACATGGGGAAACTTTCCGTCGAGTTGGCCGCTGCCCGCCGTATCAATTGATCAGCCAGATCCAAAGTTTCCGAGTGCGTAATACCGTTCTCCTTCGAAAAACCGATCATTAGCAGACGCCACAACGTACTTTGCAACAGGGGGACATCGGACACAAGTCGTATGTAGAACACTCTATCCGATTCCGGTGGCCAATTGTCCAGCTTGTAATACTGTTCGGGAGACTCCAAGAGCAAGATCTTGTGCATCGCGTGCAACAGTTCGTTTCGTCCGACGTTGTACATCTGCTGCGCCAAGTTCTGTAGCCACAGCACAGTCTCGTGCTGTATCGTGGCCACGAGATTTTGAAATTGGTGCAGCAGAGCCGCGTCCTTTTTATCCGCACGTTGCGACAGCGTCCCCGCCTCCTTCACCTGCGGACTTATCGCCAGGAGCATGCACAGGCACAGTAAATCTATTATCGACATAAACTTGCGATCCTTAAATTCGAAATTTAGCAGCTGCTGAGCTATGTCCGGTCGCTCGGACATTAGCGTTCGAGCGAAAGCGATCAGATTGATGTCGTGCCGACACACGCGTACGATTTCCCTGAGCAATGCACGTAATGGCCTCAAATAGTCCTCGCGATTCATCAATAAGTCTTGAAAGATCTCCGCAAGCAATTTCGCCGCTTGCTCAGGCAAAGTCTGAAACATTATACCCAGCATAGGCATATTGTTCGGATTGCGCGCATTTGACAATTCGTTGTAAATCGTGTGCTTCAATATGGTGGCCAAATTCTCCGGATGCAGTCCGATCAGCTCCTTGACGCCATTCAAGTATAGATTGATCACAGCCTTCGTTTTCAGTCTCATCTTAACCAGTTGGCTTATGACCTCGACGTCCCTTTGCGTGTGAGATGTGCAATTGTAGCAAATATAAATAAGCAATTCCTGCGCGGGTCTCATCAATTTAGGATTGTGCAGCCACACCTCCAGTCTCGGGACGGCGATGTTTCTAATCTCAACGAAACCGCACGCCGAAGAGAGCAGTTTCAAGAAATTTCTCGTTATAGTCTCGGCCTGGCGTCTGTTCAGCTGCTCCTTGACAGCTTCCAGCACTATCGATTCTATATTCTCTACGCAATGCGCGTATCGCGGACCTACTGGAAACTCTATCTTCTCCCTGTCCCCAGACAGCGATGTCGTCGATGCCGCCGGATCCTCATCGTCCACCGTGGACGGGCTGGGACAATCCCGCTGCATTAGTACCGGAAATTCTGGCTGTAACACGGACTTGGGCGGATGCCTTGTGTTAAAACCTGTCAGTATGTTGTCGACGAAGCCCTTGCATTCCTCGTGATCGACCCATATACGTTCTCCAAGAGCATCCTCGACGTATAGCTGCAGAAATAACGAAAGACAGTTAAAACATCGAAATTGTGCGAGCAATACAAGTGACTGTGAGTAAGCAACCTTGACGAATACTTCTGGCCAATTCTTCTTGTCGTGGAAACCTTTCATCAGAAGATTCGCAGCGAGTACAGGAACCAACGGGCTCACTTTAGTCTTGTAGCTATTTTGATTGTTCTGATCCCTCCTTAGCAGGGACGACAGCGCGTGTAGTATGCAGTCATTTGAGAAAATGGATGGGCGGATTTTCGCCAAATACAACAAGCCCATGTAAAGTAACGTGTCGGGCTTCCATCTCTGGTTCTTCAGCGTCTTAATAGCGCCACATATTATCCCGATAACTTTGTCACCCTCATCATTGTCATTAGCCTCGAGTGCGTGAGGCACGAAGTCCGCGGGATCGGTGTCTATGACTAAAACTTCCCACGCTTCCGCGCTGGAGGAAGGTTGCCGTTGGTGGGTGCCGACGTGGGCTAACTTGGGCTTCTTCTGCGGGACGTACATAAATGATGACCCAGAAGGAGCCTCCTTCTTCCGATCATTGCCTGCGTAACGGTTCGTGGTAATCGGTAAGCAATCATTTGCAAGAGTTATCAATGCAAAAGCGAGACGAGTTAGTTACCAGAGGACGTCGAGCTGCCGCTTGGCTTGGAATGGATAACACCTGGTCGGCTTTTAGAATCGGAATTATCATTGCGCGAACTCTTCGATCCCAGCGCGAACAAGTCGGAGGGGTGCTGAGCAATTTTATTTTTTACAGCTCTACCAATCCCAGTCTTGCCACGCTCCATGATTGATAGTTTCTGTATCCAAAATATGAGAAACTGTAGGAAACCTGCATTTAAGGACTTTTTTTTCAAACATAGTAACACTTGATAATTGTAACAACTGTTATAATATATAAGTGTAAGACGTAACAACGTTGCAGAAGTAAAAAATACTTTGCCGATTAAGAAATACCTAGGTCATCTACTGGAAATGGATTAAGTCCTAACCTAAAATCCTGGTCAATGTTTAGAAGAAATTCTTTCACGAAGTAAACCTCGCTTCGCGTCAACGGAAGTGAGAGTGCATCAGTAGGCTGGTACGTCCACAGCCTAGATGGAGAAATCAAATATTTGTTATGTGCCTAAATTAATCGACAACAATCCCACGCACATCTCTCTCCGCATCATCGATCGACATGACAAAAACCGCTCCTCTTCAGCTGTTGCTGTTGATTACTGCACCGCTTGCACTCTTTAGAGATGTTACACTTTCTACCATGGACGTAGGAATACCTAGATGTGGAGCATAGTGCCGCGGAGGTGGTTCACAAAAGGAGATTTAACTTGAGATTAGTAAACTTTACTGTGATTGGTCAAATTTCACTATCTGAATTTCCAAGAATTGGACTTCCGAGAATTTCAAACTTCTACTCACGAAAATTAAGAAGCTCAAAAAACTGACAAAGTATCAGGAGAACGTAATCAGCAAAGAAGTGGCACTATTTAAATTTCCAAGAATTGGAATCCCGGGAATTTCGAACTTTAAATCGCCAAAATCGAGAGTTTGGAAAATTGACCAAGTATCAGGAGAACATGATCGGCAAAGAAGTGGCACTATCTAAAATTTCAAGAATTTTTCAACAATTCCAAGAATTGTAATTCCGAGAATTTTTACATTATTTCACGCTATAGTAAAAATGCTCAAAGTAAGTAGCCTTGTCCCTTTCTAACTGTGCCTTTAAAAAAAGACAAAGCCACTCACTTTAGCATTTTTATCTAATTTTTACTGTATTGCGAGATACAGAACTGACTCCCTGAATATGGTAGACGGTGTTCGATGTTTCAAACCGGCTAGAGAACGCGCAATCTATTGTCGTTATACGTCTATGGCTTGAATGCTGGAGTCGGGCTGATTCGGGCCATGTTCAAGCCGCACGGAAGTGCTTATGACACGTGCTCTCTACGTTTTTCAACCACGACTGATTGTCAGATGTGTGTCTAGACATGCGTCAGGTGTAGTGTCGAAAGAAATCGCTCCAAGTCCACTGGGAAGGAAGTCGAAAAGGATTCGCCGTCCGACTGCGTGTCCCCTCGTTGAATCGCGTTGCGACGCTCGACCCAATTTCAATCCCGATTTGCTGCGCGTCGATAAAATGCCGGAGGTGGTGCGTACGACCGGGGACAATGAGGGTTGTCGGGTCGAATATCTGGACACTCCCGTCACGTCGGAGAACGACAAGAAGGAATACAAGTAAGACGATGGCCGAGTACTCGGCGATGAGCAGCGTCCCGATCGAAGTGGGCGTGGAGAAACGTTGCCCAGTATATTCCTCCGAGAGAAACGCCACCGCGCATCTCTCGCCGGAAGGGTTAGGTTAGGTTTCTAGAGGAGTCTCTTGGCCGTATACATGTTACTTCATTTTAAATGTACCGCAGACAATCGTCTGTGCTTTGTAAATAATTGTAATGCGCACTCCGGTTTGCTCGATTCGTTTCAAGAACGATTTGTGCTCCTCGTCTCGTTTTATCCTCACAGTTTGTACAGCTTGGACTCGATTTTACCAATGTCGTTTGATTTTAATCTTTGTCAGCCTGAGGACTGGTTGTTCCAATCTTTCGGTGAATTAACTAATAGTTAAATCATGCATATGTCGTTTTTCTCTCGAATTAAACAAAGGTAGACATAATTTAAATCCTAGTTTATACAATTTCACCAACAATTAGTTTCACTTGTGTCTTTTCTCTCCCAAATTTAGAGTCATCAAATTACCAAATGGTTTAACAGCTTTGCTAATATCCGATATGCATTCAAAGAGTTCTGGTAAAGAAAACGATGATGATGATGATGAGGATGAAGGTAAGCTACGAATCGAGACATATTACTTTCAACGGCGAGATAGATAACATCTAAATATACATGTAAATAATTATTTATAAAAATGGGACCTTTGTGTCATTTTTTAATGGATATAGAATCTACTGAAGACGAAACCGAGGATGAGGACAGTAACGAAGAGGATGAGGATGATGAGGACGACGAGAATGATGTTAGCGATGAGTACGACGAGGAAGACACCTCACTCAAGCGAGTTAGGAGAGACGAGAAGAAGGTGTGAAAGAAGCGATATATAGTTTGCACTTTGCTCAATATACCTTGCCAATCTTTTTTCTTGCGTAATCCATTGCTAAAAATTTATTAGAGTTAACAATACTGTAGGTAAACTTACAAAATCATAAAAGGGATATGCCTCTTCAAGACCTGAAAGTACTATCAGGTCTTATCAGGAGTTTTCATTTTTAAAAAGTTGATCTCTCCTTAAGGACGAATGGCCCGATCGAAATGCATACAATTTGAATTGGGATTATCCCATCAATGTCCTGCATTCATATATTTGTTTAACATATCATTTGTTTAACATAACATTCTATGTGTTGACTCGAGTCAACGCTGTTCGAACAGATTACATCAAAAGCCCTGTGTGTATATGTATGTGTATTCATGTAGATATGTGTTCTCTATCAAATAATTTGTTACTTATATTTAAATTATAATTTTAAACAATAAAATTCATAAGGCTCTAACGTGAGATCACAATTTGAAGGAATAAAGGATATAGAGCCAAGACAGGATGTTAGTGTCTAGATGACTTTAAATTATAATGTTCATGTAAATATGAGTTTATATTTAAAAGATATAAATATATTGTTCGAACAGGCGGCATGTGGCTTGTGTGTCGGAGTAGGCAGTTTCAGTGATCCATCGATAGTTCCAGGCATGGCGCATTTCCTCGAGCACATGGTTTTCATGGGATCTGAAAAGTATCCACAAGTATGTAAAACGTGATACGTAAATTTACAGGGAGATTCATTTATTCGTATATTTAAAATGTTTAAGTCGTCGTCTCGCTTACAGGAGAACGATTTTGATGCATTTATTAGTAAGCGTGGCGGCTTTACCAATGCCTCGACTGACTGCGAGCATACAACATTTTACTTTGACATACAAGAGAGACACTTGCAATCGGCTCTCGATCGTTTCGCTCAATTTTTCATTAAGCCGCTGATGAAGAAAGATGCCATTACACGAGAGCGAGAGGCGGTGGAAAGCGGTACGTAAGTCATAATCGTAACACCGTTGCCGCAACTTACAGTTTTAACGTGCCGTGCTCGTGTAGAATTTCAGTTGGCCTTACCTTGTGACGAGAATAGAAAGGAACAGTTGTTCTCGTCCTTCGCACGAACTGGTCATCCAGCCAACAAGTTCATTTGGGGCAATTTAGTAACGTTGCGCGATAACGTGGATGACGACAAATTATACGAAGAGCTACACAAATTCCGAGAACGCCATTACAGTGCTCATAGAATGACGTTAGCTATACAGGTGACTTGGTTAAAATGGTGAACCGTTACTTGTTAAATACTACTGTTAATTCATAACATGATACGTCTCTTCATAGGCGAGACTGCCGTTGGATGTATTGGAACAATATGTCGTATCGTGCTTTGCTGATGTACCAAGTAATTGGTTGCCTCCCGATGATTTTACCGAGTTTAAAGGCGGTGTTTCTTTTGATACTCCCGCCTTCCGAAAAATGTATAAAGTTAAGCCTTTCAAAGATGTCAGCCAAGTATGTGACTAAGACTTAAATCAATAATTTATGATAATTATAAGTTGCATGAAAACACTTTATTTCTGGATTGAACAATTTGCAGCTGGAAGTAACATGGACAATGCCTTCGCTACTTGATCTCTATAAAAGTAAGCCGCATCAATATATCTCATGGATTATTGGACACGAAGGAAAAGGTTCCTTAATTAGTTATCTACGCAAGAAGATGTGGAGCCTCGATATGTTCAGTGGTAACAGTGAAAGCGGTTTCGAACACAGCTCCATGTACGCCTTGTTCAAGCTTACTGTAGTACTCTCGTATGAAGGACAGCAACACCTAGAGGAAGTTCTAGATGCGATATTCTCCTTTATCAATTTAGTGAAAAAGGAGGGTCCGCAGAAAAGAATTTACGATGAGATCTACAAGATTGAAGAAAATAATTTTAGGTAGATCAAGTTTAGAAATAAAAAAATTTTTTTAATCCAACAATTGAAAGAAAAAAAAACCGTCAAAATATATGCGAGACATCGCTCAGACTGGGTGTTCTTTTTAGATTTGCTGATGAGGAGGATCCAGCGGATTATGTGGAAGATTTGTGTGAGAGCATGCATTTTTATCCGCCACGCGATTATATAACTGGAAACGAGCTTTATTTCGAATACGATCCAGAAGCTATACAAAAGTATTTAAATTATCTGGTACCGGAGAACGCGAACATCATGATCTTCAACGAAGATTTTGACAGTCTTGAGTTGAATAAAGTCGAACCCTGGTTCAAAACTAAATACACAGACATCGAGATACCAAAGGAATGGGTCGAACGCTGGAAATCCATTGAACCATTGCCAGATTTTCATTTACCATTACAGAATACATTCCTTATCAGCGACTTCTCCCTAATACCGATACCGGATGGAGTTCCAAAATATCCTGTGAAGTTACACAGTGATCATATATCAGAAATTTGGTATCGTCCGGATTCCAAGTTTCGTTTGCCAGAATGTTACATGAATTTCCAATTTATTTCCACTCTCGGATTTCAGTCGCCGAAGAAGTAAGTAATAGTACAAAAAATAGAATAATTACAATCACAAAATTACTAATTTTTAGTTACATTATCGATATGATTTTCATATTATTTGCGTCTGACATTACAGTCGAGCCCTCATGGAAATGTACTGCAATGTATTAAAACTGTTATTGATCGAAGAATTATATCCAGCTATAGCGGCCGGGTTTGATTATAATATCAGTACTAGTGACAAAGGTATTATGATAAAAATGGATGGGTTTAACGAAAAACTGCCAGTAAGTATACAAAATGCGTTGTGAGTATCAAGTCAATTTCAAGATACACATTATTTTACTTATATTACAGCTCTTATTAACGGCTATTGCAAAATACATGGTGGACTATCCAACCCTCGTTACGAAGGACTTGTTTGAAATTGTCAAAGTGCAGCAGCTTAAGACATATTACAACACATTTATAAAACCTGGGAAACTCGTCAAGTACTATTTATATCATACTTTTTAAGCGCAGCTGCAATAATTATAAAATTCTTACATAACTAAAGCAATGATACAACACACATTAATGATCACGATTAATATTATAAAATAAAATTGCCAGATTACGTTTCTGCCGATTAATCAATAACATCTCTCTGTTTTTCGCAGGGACGTGAGATTATGGATATTAAAATTTGTTCATTATACGTACGTTGACGTTCATACTGCTCTACGTGGTATCAATTTTGAAGAATTCCGAGACTTTGTGAAGACCTTTACCGATCATATGTACATTCAGTGCCTCGTGCAGGGCAACATGACGCAGGACACTGCGATCGAAAGTATACGACAGTGCATCGAAATAATTAATTGCGGCCCCCTGCTCTCTAGTACGATGCCGCAAATGAGAGTCACTCAGATACCCTTGGGAACGTGGTATTGCAAGTTAAAAAATATCAACAAAATCGATGCAAATTCCGTAGTGACAAATTATTATCAAGCCGGTGTCACGTCAATTGAATTGTCGGTGCTAATTGATCTGATGATCGTAAGTGTTGTCACTTCGTGTATTTTAAATGCGTAAAATCCTTGATTTATATTCCTTTGCGTTCACATTTATTATTTAAAACATCCTAATTTTAAATGTATATCATCGCATTCAACGTTGAATATGATAACTAAAACACGAATATCTTTGATTGTCGCGCTCGATTTTATCCGTACGTCATATTCATCCGCACTTCTTTTCAGATGATAATGGAAGAACCGTTGTTCAATCGGTTAAGAACCCAAGAACAGCTTGGTTACGATGTTTCCTGCACCCTTAGAGATATCAATGGAATTTTGGGATATTCCATTACCGTTCACACTCAAGCAGATAAATACACAACCGAGCACGTGGACCAGCGGATCGAGGAATTTTTGAAATCGTTTAATAAAATTTTGGAAAAGTTCTCAGAAGAGGAATTGGATGAGGTCAAGGAGGCACTAAGAAAACTGAAGCAATGTGCCGATATCGATTTGGAAGAAGAAGTTAACAGAAATTGGGCTGAGATCACGAGGTGGCAATACATGTTTGACAGACTCGAGAGAGAAGTGCTTGCAATAAAAGACATAAAAATCAATGAACTGAGAGAATGGTCCGTGAAGCACACAATGAACGGAAATAACTTTAGAAAATTGAGCGTGCACGTGGTAGGAGCTGATCCGAAACAAAAGGAAGTTAATGAAGAAAACGGTGAGGAGATAACAATTTTTTTGCTCGTCTATTTATATTGACCACATGATAGTATTCTTA